AGATCTAATTCCGTACGTGGCCGTTTACGATCTCTCGTTAAAAAGTCGCTAGCCGAGGAGTTAGCGTGCTTACGGTGGCGCCGTTGCGGTTCGCATCGCGCTACAGCCAACGATAAATGATAACCATTAGCCTGGAACTTACCTTGCCGGTGGTAGCGGACTTGTAGAGCGGGCCCATGATGACGTGATCGGTGGGGCAGCCATCCGAGTCAATTAAGACTATCTCGCTGGAGTCCACGCCGTCCATAGCCACTAGCTCGCGTACGAAGATCTCGTACGGGCTGTTAGGGTCGAGGATCTCGAACTTGAGCGCCAGCGGATCGCCGACTTCGGCCGACGGGATCGCTTCGTTTCCGCTGCGATCGGTGATCTTCATGGCGACGTTCGGCGAGTCGACGATCACTTCCTCGGACAACGCGGGCGTTATGTCACCGTGCACGCCGAGATCCACTTCGTTCGATACTGTTTTGTTGGTGAGATCGTACTGGCAGGTGACGGCCAGCCCGAGATCCGAGCTGGTGACAATGGTGTCGTGGTGTTGGATCACCACGTCGTTTAAGTAGCGGCCCAAACCCTGTTGCCTGATGTTGCACTCCAAATCGTCGTACGCCATTCGCAGCTCGAATTCCAGCGCCCCCTTCACGTCTTGCACGCACGAATTCGGCGAGCCTTTCACGTACACCTTGCCGTAGAACAATTTGCTCGTTTGGATTCTCGTCACCATGTCACCGGCCCGACAATCGATCGTCACGTTGTAGCACGAGCTCAGTTCGTAGGTCGAGCCTTCTGGCACGTCGAGATACGGCTCCTGAAACGGGAGTATATAACGAATTTCTTTCGTTATATTATACTATACGCTACGTGTTCTACGTCAAACTGTGACCGAACGACGATCCTTTTTATTTGTGAATACTGTTTACAAAGAGATTACACCGACTTTTCCATTTCTCCTAATCATTTCGAATAATTGAAAAACATTATCGGTATACGATTTCCAACAAACATTGAAATACACTTGGCGTTGATTTGATCTCTCTTTATTTCGTAATATGTTCCGTTTCGAATTGTAAATATTATTCTTACTGTTATGTCTTTTTCTTTTTCTCTCAAACCTTACTAAATTACATCATTTTGGTTTAATTCAATCTACTGATTGTTCGTTGGAATTGTTAACTCCATTTTTCTTTTTTTTTGTATCAAAAACGTGATCTCGCGTGATTTATGTTTCACGAACGAACTATCTAACGGTGACAGTGCGCGTCTCGCATCGGTACAATAAGATAATCTGGATCGGAGCATTAATAATTTGCATATTTTCACTAAACTAGCCGGCCAGTGTTATAATTATCTACTATTTATAGAACTTAAATTGTCACAAATGTGTTCTTGTTTATCATTTTATCTCGCAACAAATTGCCAGGATGCATCGGAGCCAGGCCTTGCACGTTCATTACCAAAATTACAGCATCAGCTCTGAGATATTACCTCTTTATACAATTACCGTAACGTATTATTTAAGTTATTTAATGATATAGGAAACGGGGTCTCAAATTACCGCGTTTAAATATTTATGCTCTTTTTAACGATACGGGCGAGGGTCTCGAGACCGCGGGTACGTCGTTACCAATCTCCTTTTCGCGTAAAATGTCGTTTCTTCGAAGTTTGAACGTCAGTCACATCAGTCATGTCATTTCTTCAGAAACAAATAACTTCGTACTCCATGGATTCATTTGTCACAAGAAGAGAAATAACTATAGATAATATGATTAAAAAACAACTTTTGTAGTCATTTAATTGGCAAATGTAGCTTATGAATGATTCAAACATCATCCACATACTAATGAAGAAATTTACTACGAGTCAACGTATGTAACATTGCAAAGATTTGCAAAGATTTTCTTTTTTCAACATTGGCTTGTAAAAAAAAAAGACTTATGAACATATCCTGTGAACTATTTCGCCTATATTATTTTTTAACGCAGAAGTAATTCTAAACGAAACTCGTAACAGTTCAAGTTTGTCACGTTTCGTGAGGTTTTGAATATTCATTGACAATTTTCAAATTTTGGACGATAGAAAAAAGACTTTAGTTTACTCATTAAGAAAAAAAAAGAGCCTGTCACATGAAAATCAATTTTACGAATCACTAATATAATACATTCGTAAAAGCGAGAAATTAACGACTCGTGTCCTCGTCCACGGGTCTAAAGAGCTTCTCATAGATCGAGCCGAAGAAATAAAGACGCGATAAGGAAAAAAAAAAAAAAAGAAAGAAAAAATGAAGCCGTAAGGCGAGTACGATGATGGGTATTGTAGAGAGCAAAAGAAGAGGCACCGAGCCAGTCGGACGTAGAGAACACGCTAGTTGAAAATAGAGCGAGCCGATTCTTCAACAGGTTGGCGAGAAGAAAAGTCTTTGTCTTGACTTCCCCGGGACCGCGAGATACTCGGGTTCTCTCTCGTATGCACAAACTGAAGAGCCCACCGAGCACAGGCTCGATCGAGGGTAAGCAGCATCTGCGATGGAAACTCGATTTTCCACGAATGCGCTCTCCGCGCGGAATTGTTCAACCTGGTTTACACGTGTGCGATGTAATCACGTTTACAGAAAATCCCTACCGGCCCTTTCAGTAGTACGCGGCGCACGGGGCGGAACGGGCGAAATACGTGCGGTCTACGATTTCCAAGCGAATTCCGTGCCGCGGAATTGACGTCGAATTGTTTTACTTCGCCGCGTGTCAAATGAATTAAAGTAAGTTCACGCAACGCGGTAGCAAATTCCGCGTGAAACAACGTCCCTCGGCGCGCCATTTCGCGGCCACGTCGCGAAATAACATTTTATTAAACGCGAACGAACGGCGAACGCTTCGTCCATTGCGTCGAATGAACCGTGACGCGACATCGTGCGCAGTTTTCCACATTTATTTCTGTCCTTTTTTTTTTTTTTTTTTTTTTTTTTTTTGATGAACGAGTAATAGAAAAATTGTGCGTTCCAGTCGAATATCGAGATTCCGCGCGTGTTTCGAGAATATTACAATGGAACGCGGAACGGAGTAAAATATCGTTGCCGGGAAGAATTTAATATCCTGACTGTATTATGAATATAAGCACTCGATTATTTTATTGTTAAGTGTATTACTGTGGTCAATTAAACTTACTGAGCTTTTCTGCGTCCGGTATAAAAAAGTTGGTCATTTTTTTTCTTTTTTTTTTAATTCGTCGAGATGAAATTGTAATTTGGAAATAATTTAATAGAAACCGTCAAGAATTCGACGGAGTGATTATTTACCTGGATGTCGGACAGGGTAGCTCTGGAATGATGGCTAAGACGGCATACCATGTCGCCGGTGTCGCCGTAGTCGTAAGAATGGCAACGGAACGGCGAGTTCAAGCAGAGCTCCCGGCATTCCTCGGAGCTGCCAACATCCTGGTACACGGAGTCCACAGTTTTCAAGATACGGCCGGATAGTTTCTTAAATTCGCAAAGTTTCACCGGCTCGTCGACGCAGTGGTTTTCCAGATAGTCGAAACCTTTAGCAGATTGGAAAGCGCTCGACCCGGCTACCGTTAACCGGTCCATGTCCGACAGTTCGCATTGTTTCGTCGAGTTCGCGTAGTTGGCAGACCTGAAAGAGAAAAACCAACGACCATTTAGAATCTTTGGCACTTTTGTTTGAGAAAGAGAAGAAGCTCGTTTGGAATTTTGCATCGATATGTTACGCAATGTATAACATTTTCACCAATATTTGAACACGTGTCGAGGAAAAATGATCTCAGGATCAAGAAAAAGTGATCGATGAATTTATTCAAATGGAAGGAAATAACGTGAATGTGTACAAAAGGATAATTCGTGCAACTACATCAACGTCTGCTAAATATACGTACAGGTAACACTTTGTTGGGCAGCGTGGTAAATAAAATTAAAGGAAAAGAAGCGGCATGCTCGTTTGCAATTTTCATCGATATTTGACGTGTCGAGGAAAACTGAATGACTCGGGAGAATTAATTGAACGTATTGGCAGGAAGAAACTGATATGATTAATAAAAAATGATCGACAAACTTATTGAAGTGGAATAAAATTGGAAGATAATTCACTAATTTCAGCGAAACACTGCAACTGCAAAGTGCAACTACAGCAACGTCTGCTAAATATACGTACAGAGACGTATCGGTAACATCAATCTGTACAAACGACCAATCTTCGTACCTTATTCGACGATTGTATTTTATACTAAAACTCGATATGTGTATCATGGAAATGAATTGACCTGTTGCGCAATATCTGACAAAATGATCGGAATCATTCCACGCCTATTAAACTGCTGCGACTGTTATTACGCGAAACCGCCGCAGAGTAAGTAACAGAAACCGAATCTCTCGGATTTCGATGGGAACAATGTGTAACTGCATTAAGTCTCAATGACGTACAGCGAAATCACAGAGTCCATAGGGGGGGGGGGAATTGTAATAGAAACTGGCTAATGGATTTCCACAAAACTGCGAGCTTCGCGTTGCCAAATATTGCGGCAGCGCAAATTGAATCAATAGCTTCTCGGGAATTTGTCGCTACAACTGACTGCGCGACATGCAATTACTTTGCATTGAACGTGGAGCTAAAGTGCTTGAATGCTTGCCACGGGAACATTGCGTGTAGCACGTTTTTACATGTGGATTGTATAAAACATATTTTCGAATTTCGCTAACGTCGAAGACAAGACGATATTGACAAAATTTGAAACCAATCTGAAATGTACATGATAATTACAGGGAATTTGTTCGCAAATAGTATATTAGAAAAAAAATTCGTTTATTTATTGCATGAGATTGCTTTAAAATTATTATCGTAATTAGCGTGTTATCTATTTATTTATTAATTATGGAGATTTATCAATGTAATGAATTACTGACTGATAGGTTTCTTACGATCTTCAAGTTTGTCTGAATCTCGGATCACAAAAACAGAATCATAAAACCGATCATAAAACAGAGACTCAAGCTCGTTTATTTTATTATTTATGCTTCATTTTTTTTT